TTGCACTGAATTGCTCTTCTAGCAGTGCTGTGCATTAAAAAAAAAAAAAAAAGGAGAAAAAGGAAATAATGAAATGCACTGTGTTGTACCAGTGTGATGTCTCTTGATTGCCTCAGATTAATCAGGCTACATTAGTGAAAAAAAGGCAAACTTTTGTGAAACTCTGAGCCCTGTTTCCAGAAGACCAGATTTCACAGCCATAACAAGGACACAGCACTGCCCCAGGACCGGGATGCCCACACCTGGCTGGGCTCTGTATTCAAAGCCTTGCTACAAAATTGAGTTTGTTGAGCGCTGTCTCGATGCCATCCTTAACTCAAAGCACAGACACAGCTATTGTTTCTGGAGGAGACGTTTGTAGTATTAATTTAATTCAGCTGTGAGCTTTCTAACAAAGCTCCTTGCCTTCATTTACCTTGATAAATGGTGGTGCTTTATTGTATCTACTCGTGTGTTTCTGTAGATAACTGAGTGTTGTTACTGAGGATGTAGCTGTAGGGTTGGTGGATATTACTGACACAGGCAAGAATGGGAAATGAGGGCAGGATATGAGTCTAGAAGAAGATAGAATAGGGAGCGGCTAATCGTGAAACTGTGAAAGTTGATAGTAAATAATATAAGCTGCTATACCAGGTGAGCAGCAGTACACTTATAAAGATAACATCTCAAGGAGAGGGGATGGACATGGGACGTCTTTGGCAAGGTCAGCAGAGCGCCACTGAGGGATGAGGAAATCCTAAAATAACTAATGATCCCTGCGATAAAAAACACAGGCAGCACAATGGGAGCTAAATGGGACACCCTGATATGCAGCCAGATAGAACCCGTTAAGCCAGCAGACAAAAAGTTTGTTGAAATTGGGCAAGTTCAACAAAATCCCTGTTCTGAAAAGCCTCTTGTGATTGCAGGTATTTCCTTTTGCAGATGGAATCAAAAGTGAATGGAAACAATCGCTGACTGCTTCTGTGCCTGGATTAAGGAAATTGGCAGGGCATCATGAGTCTGCAGAGAGGACGAATGAGAGTGTCTTTTAGTATTCAATATGCAGAATGAAGCAATCCACTTTTAATTTTTATCTAAAGCTGAGATGAGCCTGAAGTATGCTCCAGACATTAACATTTCAATGGAGACTCGCTGAAGACGTTGGAGAGTTTGGGAGCATCACAAAATCCATCCAGCAGCCACGCTTAGGGGTCAAGTAGAAAGCAGGATGTGAAGGACATGCAAGAAATGAGCCACTCCTGTCACAGGGGACAGTTTCACAATGCATACCATCAATGGTTCAAGAGCAAACTGTACAGAAATTGCAAGGAATGGGCACAAGCAGGAAACGCACCAGCTAGCAAATCAAACCCAGCCACCAGTTTAGAAAGTCAGTGCCAGTTAACTTCACATTCTTCAGCTTGCATACAATGTGCAGTGACTGTAGAAAGCATAATGCCTCTGTAATTTCCTCTTTCAGCTCACAAGAAACAAAAGTATTATTTTGAATCCTTTAAAGTGACAAGAATAACATCTAAAATAAAACACGACTCACTGCGCTGGCAATTTTCTGGTAGGATCATCAAAGATCTCTTAGGAAGGAGGTGTTAATGGAAAATCTCAGTGTTTCTAAAAACACTTGCCAGGGTAAACTCTGTTTCCCTGATTATTATAATATCTGTAACGCAGCAGCACACGGCATACGTGCAATCTCTGTCATCTGAAGGAAGATATTACCCAGCACAAGATGGCCACAACCAGCAAAACACATTGCACACTGTTAGTTAGACAGTTACTGAGTCACTGAGGTTCAGCTGAGGCATGGTCCCTCCTTATGCACAGCAACTGAGTCATCTGCCTGCAACGGAAGGCTGGCTGAGTGGATAGAAAAAGCAAAAGGAAACATCTCAAATCCAAAATGTTGAATTTCACTGGCTATTTGCTGGGAAAAGAAAACAAATCGACAACAATTTATCTAAATCACGATGAAAAATAAAAAAAGAAATCCAAACATGGCTCTATAAGATCCTCTTGCTGAGAATATCTTGCTTCCTGGAAACGGTGAGTCAGTGCCTCCTGCAGCCAGCCCTGGGCAGCCATGGGTAAAGGCAGCACGGAGCTGTGCCCTGTGCCAAGGCTGGAGAAGGGGCTGAGGAGGGGTGTTACTGAAAGGGTCCTCACAGCTTGGGTGCCTGCAGCTTGGGATGCTTTCCCACGTGGAATGGGTGCGATGGAAGTTCAGCCTGAAAGACCTCTTACCTTTGCTTCTGCATCTTGTGCCTCTGAAGAACTACGTTCACACTGAGAGAAAATCTGCTTTTAGTTTGGGGGTTTAGAAAAATTGGACTCTCTCCGTCTGAGCAATGATTGATTCCAGTTGCAGGTGATTTAACTGCTGGGATCAAAGCAAGGGGCATCAGTGGTGCAAACTGTGTGCCTGTAGGTGTCAGGTAAGGACGTGAAGGTGGGATCAAAGATGGTCTGCATGTGCTGTGTGGCACAGACCAAGCCAACTGCAAATGGGGCCACCCAAAACAAAGCATGATCCAGTAGAGCTAAGGTCTTTACTACTGGGAAGAGGACAGGTCTGGGTGTACAGAGAGGAAAGATACAAAACCAAAAACTACTGTCCAACTTAGTTTGATTGAAAGCAGCTGAGCCTACATTGAAGTAGGTAATGTGTGTCATCAGATGGGCTATTCCCCAAAGCCAAGGTCATATGAATACCCCAGATCTATTCAAAAGCTATTAGGGAAGAACTGTGTCAGGTAACCAGGGACAAATATACGACTAAAGGAAGTGATTAATCAGTGTCAAGGCAGTCACTATCTGTGGCAGGTACTCCATATGGACTATGTCAGGTCATTTAGGAGCCCTACATTTTACACAAGTCAATGTTCAGTTGAAATGGTTGGAAGGATTTCACACAGATGGTGGAGGCATGCAGACTCACCTGCCAAGTGCTGCCAGGCAGCCATGACAGAGGCTGGGAGCTCCCCTGTTCCTTAAGGACGGGCAGGCAGGCACCTCACAGCCCAGCAGCTCCCAGCCCTTCTGCTGTGGTCATCCCTTGACTGCAGAGCTGGGGACTCGCTGTCACTGTCCATACAGGGCTGTTTGCAATGCCTGGCATGAATGCACTGTGCTGGGAGGGAGTGCAGGTGCCCTCCTGCAGCCCTGAGAAGGATGCTAGCTTTTGCTACTTGAGTAATAATAGGACTCGTTTTCCTTTTCTTCCCCGTCCATTACATCCTTATGGTACCTGGTAGCCTCATTCACATATGTTCTGTATTACCGTGGCTCTGATTTATCCTATTTATTCCACCTCCTTTCCCTCAGTTCTCTTGATAATAACAAGCAAGCTGTAGGGCAGGGATCTATATAGACTACCAGGCATGGAGGACTGCAGCTCTCAGCTTTGATGACTGTGTCGAGCACTAAGACTCCTGAGCCTGGTGTTTATGGTTTTGCTCCCATGACTTGTCACTACACAACAGGAAAATGTTGCAATGACTGCAGCACAAAGTGCAAACGCAGCTCCTACGAAGCACTGGGAGGTTCTTGTGTGTGTTACCTAGAGAGAAAACGTAGCCATCTCCTGGGGTTGGCTGGTAGCACGCTTTATACACCAGCTTATAGACACTCAAACTTCTACGCCCTTTTACCAAGAGAAGAACACAGAGTAGCAATTTTCCATATAGCTGAGAGCCCACTGCCACTGCATACAGAGCAATAACTTCTGGAACAGTTTGAGCCAGAGCCAAATGCATATCTGTGAACATTCAGGAACATCGTATTTTTGGAACCCAGCAGAATCTGTGTGGTTATTGTGTGCTAGGTAGAGAGTAAAGATTTATACGTTTTCAGAACATAACCCGAAGCCAATGTTTAGACAGTAAAGAGAAACTTATTGAAACAGCTTTTTTTTCTCCCAAGCTCAGTTCCGTTCTGTTTGCATGTGCAAGATTAGGTCATCCCCTTTAGCCTTCAAGTGCCTTTTCTCAAACTGAGCTGCAGCGAGGCCTCAGTTCTTCCACAAGGCAAGGCAGCTCTGGGAGATATTTGTCAGCATTTCTTTGGCCATAATTGCATGCAGGTCCAGGGCAAAACCATTTCAGCTTCAGAGGAGGAACCGGTCTGAGCAAAAGGGAAAAGCAGCCAGAGCAACATGAAGGGAATCAACTCTTCATGAGATCATGAGAAGGTGTTAGAGAAAGCCTTCAGGAAAGAGGGCTGAGACACTGGAAGTTACACAGGAATTGAATGGCATGGAAAGTACCCTGAAAGCCTGACCACAGCAGAGAGGGGAAGGAAGGAAGTGGGAGGGAAAACAGAAGCTTTGCCTGATGTAGGAAGTGTCAGCAGTTATATGGGTAGTGTAGTAATGCTGAAAACTCAGCATAAGACACATGCAGCCTGATACAAATTAAGCCAATTTCGCCCTTAGAGCTTATTCTTAAAAGCTGTGCAGGAGAAGCTGCCTTTCAATGTGGACCTGGCTGAAATGGCTGCAACAAAAGGGTTATACCAATATCACCATCAGCTCAACTTCACGCTGTAGGCTGTTTCTCCAAGTAACATTCTGGGGAGTCACCACCTGAGGTGAATCCCTGATGATAAAAGGTCAGGAAGAAAGCAGTAAAGAAAGGACGATACGGTGTAGCATCATCCTGGAAGAAAGCTGTAGTGAGAAGATGTGGCCACAGAGGTAGGATGTGGATAGGAGCCAGCTGCAGATAGGTGCAGCTTTTAATGAGGTTTCTTACATGTGGAAGACCTTCAGCACACAAAGCAGACCTGGCAGGGTGGCTCTATTCTCTGAATGATCAGCAGGAGGCACGCAAAGCTCTGAGCAGCGTGCTGGGAGGAAGATAAAGGGGGCTACTTGGGTCCACAAACCTGTAACATCTCAGAGGGGATTTTAAGGTAACTAAGGTAACTTACCTGTCCCTATGAGGAATCCCCCTCCCACAAGACAGTGCCAACTCCTTGAAAACAGAAGTGCATTTATTCTCTAACAGAACAATAAAAGAAACAATTTTTTTGGTGTTTACTGCAGACGTTAACATTTCCCAACAATTAGTGAGACACTAAAACTCTCTGTTTTCAACCTAGTCCTTTTCCAAAGCGATGGGTGTAACTTTATTCTCCACTTTGTGCATGAAGGAGTCTGAAATCTCAGGGTAAGCACTGCACCTTCGCTCCTGAGTTTCTCAGGGCCTGCAGACCAGCTTGGCATCTAAGTCTTGTGCTTTTCACAAACAGCTCAGTGAGTACAGGATGGCTGATCACAAAGCAGGAGGACATTACCCAAGGAAGAAGTGTTGTGCAACACTCTTCATCCTCCACTATAGCAGGCAGTGGTGGAAGCTAGAGGCAAATGAAGGATGAAGAAAGTGCTCTGAATCTCAGGGTTTAACCTCCCATCCTACCTGGGAAAGAATGTACTATGACATGCTCAAAACAACCTGGAACAAGAATGGAACAAGGGCAAAGCCCAACTGAGGTGTCTGGATGGGGATAGCAACCAGCATGGCCTCCTCTCAGTCGTTCTGGGTCTGGAAGGTATGGCTGGTTAAGTCAGCAATCACTCCCCACTCAATCATTTTCAGAAGCCAGTTCCTCTCAGCTGTGAGATTATGCTGAAAGAGCTGTAGGGACGAGAGAGCCAAAGTTACAGGTTAATCCTTACAATGCCTCTCATTCTCCCTGAAATGCACTGATCCTGCCTGACCCAACTTGCAGCCCCACTGCACAGGACACTAGTCAGCAAACTAGGACAGATGAAAGGCACCATGAGGGAGCCAGCATCTGTTTTCAAGCAGTTTTGGGAAGAAAACATACCCCAGCACTTACAGAGGAGTTGGTCTAGATGAAGATCCCTTCCAACTCTAAGGATTCTATGATTCTAATTTCCATAACATTGGTGATAACTACCAAAGCTCACAGCTCCTTTAGCCCAGCTTTTTCCAGTGGGTTCCCCTATGGAGAACACCTTAGATTGAAGAGAAAGCATTTTCTACCTCGTTTTTCCGTGAGAGACCAGTATTGTAATAATGTATTGGTGTAGTAGTGTCATGGTTGCCAGGGTAACCAAAGCCTGCAATGTTGACCTCTTGGCACAGATGGAGGGCTAAGTTCAAAGCAATGATTCCCGTGGTGGCATATCTCTGGGAAGGGAAAGGAGAGAACATCTGTTTAGCATTTCAAACTCATACTTTTACAAAACTGACATCAGCAACACCTTTGCAGCTGGGACCAGTAGCTTCCTTCACACTCCACGCAGGAAAAAAATACATAAATAAACCAGAACAGGTGCCTGGATAGCACTCCCAGAACTCAAACAAGGAGCATCATACGAGGAGATGCTGCAGAAGATGGGGACTCAGGAGTGTGCAGCCTCTGAGATTATAAAACGTAGAGCTCCATGGAAATGAAAAAGCTTTTGGATGGAAGCACGCTTTTTAAGAAGACCACATCTATAATTAAGCCTGCACTAAGTCCCCACATCTCTTTCATTTCTGTGTGCCACTTTGTGTGTGTTCCCTGCTGGGGGCCTTCGTGTGAAACCTCACTTCTCATCCATGCATTAAATTCCTGTCACTGGCCTATGTGTTACAAAACTTCCCTCTGCTCACATAAAACTAACATGGCCATGAACCAGCTGAGACCTTGCCTTAACAATCTTGTGATGGTGCAGAACAGCCACCAAACTGTGAGTGGCTGAGCTGGTCCCTCAAGCTTAGCTGAGCACTTAGCACTCCTCCTCTGGATTTCTCCACTTCACACTTTCCAAGCAGTTTAGCAGGGAAATGTACTTTTTTACAGCACTGCTTCAGCAGTCAAGAGACTTGGCACCTAATTGCAGCCCCAGCCAAGTAAGTGCATGACCTTGGACAAGGTTATTTCACCACACCAGGCCTTCAAGCTTCTCCTGCTTTTGTTGCAGATTATAAACATCCTGGTGGTGCCCAGCAGGCTTAAAGTTAATTAAAGATTGCACAGCACCATCACAAAGATCGTCGGGACTGAAGACAAAGTAGATTCATTAATGAAGTAATCCTCCATTGTGCAGTGAAGGGGAAATTTGCATTCCCAAAGTAGTGGGCATAACAGCCAGCCTCAGGCCAGAGATCTGCAAGACCTGAATGTTTTAAGGAATGCCGACCAAAATTCCTCTCAATATGCTAGCTAATTATCAGTAATGGTCTAGAGACAGGAAAATCACAGGAACATGTATGAAAGAGCTTTATGACAAAGCTGCTAATCACTAGAGAAGCAGGTGTCCTGAGGTCTAGAATTACGGCCAGAAACTCAACTCTGAAAAGTTACTTGAATTCAAAGTGGCAAAGGATTACAGGGCAGACTGGAATTAGAGTAACACTGTGCTGTTGTGACAAGCAGGAAAAGTGCTCTTTTCTTTGAAGAAACAGGGCTCAAAACCCATAACACCATCCTGAAGTAAAAGATGGATACACATTTACTAGGGAAATGGACCGGCTGATGTAACGAATATGTTTTCCTTCCCCTTATGTGGCACTGAAGCACTGAGATATTAGGCAAGACAACAAACACTGATAGTCATCTGTTTGCTCTCCAGCACAATCTCATACCCTACTTGATGCATTCAGCTGCAGCAGCTTGAATGTTGCCTCATAGGTGACATATGGATTGAGAATACGTAGCTGAGAGATGTTCCAGTTCCACTCCTGGGGAGGCTGGCGCCAAAATCCCTCCTTTGTCTGTAGGAGAAAGGCAGAGAGGTACTCAAGACGTGTCCATTATCACCAAACCCTGCCAGGATAAAGAAGCCTGAGTTATTTGTGGCCTGTTGCCCTGGCTGGATGCTCAGAAGGACTGAGAGTTTGGAGGAATAAAGCATCTCCTGGTCTTTTCCACTCGTTCTCATGCACCCATCTGCAATCTAGGTGTGACTGGGTCTAATTGGTAACAAATAAGGTCTCAGGTGTGCCTTGTGTGAGTGCCTTGTGTGGCTCATTAAATATTTGAAAGACATGATTATGAGAGCTATTGAGTATGTGACTACAAATAACCTGGTTTCAACCATCCATCTTTAAAGACACCTCACCTTGTTCTTTGTTTTCAGCAATACTTCCCTCAGCCATAAAAAATCCAAAGGCTTGAATGGGACAAACACCATCAGTGTATTGTTGTCACTGTTTTCCAGAGGGTTGGGCAGAGCTGATTCAGGGAAGAAGAGACGAATGCTGGTTCTTTCTCCCACATCCTTCTTGTACTCTTTTACTGGAGCATCATTTAATCTGAGAATCAAAGCCAGAAGCTGGATCTGTATCATTTCAGTATTACCTGTTCCCAACTGTAGAGAGTTGCTGTCAGATGCAAGACTGACTACGTGAACTCACATGAGGAGTTCACTCACAGCCTAGTTCCACAGTATGGACCACCTCATCAGATATCCCAGTAGTTCCTCCTTTGCAATAAAAAGGCAGATGATAGTGGCAGGCAACCACTGTTTTTCAGAGAGGGACATAAAGCACACGAAATGATTTGCTTAAGTCAGAGCAAAGCTGAATGTGAGGTTGCAGTGCAAAGATTCCCTGCCACTCCACTGAACTGGGGATGGCTATCCAGTCCCAGGTACAACATTTGTGAATGAGGAGTACAAAGTTTGTAGCTTCTGCAATGCCTGTGCCTGACTGCAAACTGCAAGAAAGTTATGTGATTACCTGGGTAGCTAGATCTTAGATGCTATATTTTCCAAACAAGAACATCACATACATATTATCATTCTTCACTCTCTGATTAATCATTAATATTTTAGTAATGATTTAGTACCTTATGATAACATGATGAGAGTCAATCATTTTCCCAAAGTGCTGCCCATGGACAGAGTAGCCATTGCCAACCACAATGCACCTTTGGCACCATAAACTGGCAAAATAATAGACAGCAAGAGATAAAGTTCTCTGACAAATTTCTCCACCAGGTTAGTTCAGCATCCCCTGAGAGTCTCATCCCTGAGGGTGATACTAGAGAAGCCCTGACTAGTACGACTCTGGATACTTCCTAGCCAGATGGTGTTTGTCTTGGAAAGTACAGTGGAATGTGCTTACACATTCACAAAGGCAATGGGATATCATCAACATGCTAGAGGTGGGACCCCTAGTTGGCTGGAGTGAACAAAGCACTGAGGAAATAGAAAGTCAAGTGTGGATACCCTGCAGAGCAGTAATATGGGCAGACCTCTGCTGGAGGCACGGAGTGTATCAGGGAGAGGAAGGTCACAAAAAGGGTCTAAATAAAAGTGCTTGTAAGCATCTGCTGCAGACAGGACACTTCAGTTCCTGCTCCCCCTGAATGTGGGCAGGTGCACCTGAGGGATTCACCCAACTCCCAGCCTGTCATGCTTGGAATGGAGTTAGCAAGAGAAAATAGGTGGGACAGGGCAACACGGAGAAAAGAACTCAGGGTATGACAGAAGTTAAAGGGAGGGAGCTATGAGCTAGCAGCTTAAGTTCATCAGTATGAGAGCTGCTTGAAAGGGTACATTTAAAAGGGACAGAAAGAGAAACCTACTGAGAGAGGAGATGAAGAGTGGCAGGAATAAGAGGCAGAAAGACTGTGAAGTTAAACACCAAGAGAGAGAATTTCCAATAGCTGCAGAGACCATGACTCTCAATCTAGCTATCACTTCCCTGACAAACGTGTCCCCCAGCTTCAATCTCCAGCCCAGACTTCATACCGGCCAAAGGATCCAGGCAAATCCTGCTCTGGAAGAAGCTGCAATGTGCTAAAAGCAGAGAGAACTAGAAGACAAAAAGTTGAAGAATCATCTTCAGGGAAAAATTGTGACCCCCCCCCCCCCCGACTACCAATAGACTAACCTGCTCTTTCTTCTGCTCTAAAGAGACAGGTTTCATCCCTATATACAATCCCAGGACAATTTACATGGGACAGCCTGTTCAAACACCTCTCTTGCAATCTTCACTTACCCAACACTGTCCAAACTAGGCATTCTTTCCACATGAAAGGCATGCACTTTTCAGTGCTATTGAAGCTGGTATGTAGTACCTTGCACGGGAAAAGCCAACAGGTATCAACTCACCCAATATCTTCTCTCTATTAGCATTTGATAACTTCTGCAATGCCTCCTGCTCCATCCACAATAACATTTGTCAGCCTTCCCCTTTCCATCTCTCCTGGCACAGCTACAGCCAGGAGTTAAAGCACTGTCCCCATTTCTCTAAGACCACTATTTCTCAAATGCAACCCCATCCAGTCAGTCCAGATTTCCCTTGGTGTGTTTCTCAGCTGAATTTCCATCTCCCCTGCAGCACTGCAGGCTGCTCCATGCATAAGAGGCTCTCCAGCTCCACTGAGTCCACACAGTGGTGCAACACCAAGGACAGAGTATTTCAATACCTGATCTGTGCAGCCCGAAAGGAAGTTTATGGAGCCACAGAACTTCTTCAAGCTCCTGTTTAAAAGGCCTGTCCAGGAGTGAGTATATGGATTTGCTGGTCAAGAAAGGCTCCCAGTGAGATTTAAACCTAATGAGAGATACAGACAGACAGCAGTTTATGGACAAGTAGAGCTGTCAAAGCAGTGTCAGACACGGGACTGGTACAGCTGAAGCAGGCTGAATAATGAAGAGCTTTGGAAATCTACCAAGCTATCCTGAAGTACTTCCCAGAACTGCCCCACATTTTTAAAATCTACCACTGTTTCTACGTCATCTTTCAGGCAGCAGTGACAGCAAAAATCTCATTTCCCCTCCAGTTCTGCCCCACCTCCCAGTTCCTCTCCCTTCTCAGTCATTCTTCTCTCTGTACAGGTTCAGGGAATGCCTACTTGTCGTTTCATTGTTTATTTACAAGAGGTGAGAAGGGGAGAATTTCATTTAGGTTTCCAATTTCATTTATTCATTCACTTCATGACAAAACTCATAACACCCACGACAAACTCTTACAACACTCATGACAAAGCCTGACTGCACACAACCACTTCATTTGCACATCTCTTTCTCTTTGCTTGCCCTTTGGAGGACATTCTGCACACACATCTCCATTGCATCTTCCTGCTGGTCTTTTGACTCACTTGTTATGGTGCCAAGATGCAACTGTGCAAGAGTCAGCTCTGTTTCCCTTTCTGCATATCTGCCCATAAACCCCAAACTGCCAGTTTCCACCAAACAGCCACTCAAACACTGATTCATCATGTTACAGTAATTCCCCAAGCAAATGAGACAGCTCACAAACCTTCTAAGAAAAGGCTTTCTCCACACAAAGCGTCTTCGGCAAGCACCAACGTGCCTCCTGCAAAAGAAACAAGGTTCTTATTAGCTCTTCCTGAAGGCTCTCAAGCCTTAGACCATGGCCTGAGGATCAGGGACAGTTCAGGAGGCCTCCTAAAGGTGTCTACAAAAGGAGGGTTTTGAGCTCCTGACCATGTTGTTCTGTCTCCCAGCTCCTGACCACTGGTGTCCATGAACAGGTCCCCTCCAAAGACCATGTAAAGGGTTCCATTTCTGTTCAACAGAAACACAGATTAATTTAGATGGAAAAAAAAAAAAGATCTCTGGAGAGGTAATACCAAAGTTAGGTCAAGCTGCTTAGAGCCTTGAGGTTGAATTTTAGAACATCATTAGCGAGCATTGCTCTTTCCTCCATATAGAGGCAGACAAAGAACACCATGAGGCATCCACAAGACACCCTGCCAGTGACCATGAACACCAGGGAATCTCTGTGCTCTAGCTATGACATCTCCAGGCTCACTAATGCTGTTTTATCCTGCTCTCCAGCCACTGCCAGGCAGAACACAGTCCTCCAAGTCCCCAACAACTCAGACCTTACTGGGGAATTGCTTCTCATCCAGGTTTTACCCTGGGAGGAGAGGATAAATCTGCTTCCCAGCATACTGAATTGTGCCCCACCACAGACCACAAGTAGCACCAAAGTCAGAAAATGAAAGGAGAGGTAACTTACTCAGTATGCCTGCCAAGTGTGTTTGTCACATTGTACAGGCTCTTCACACACAGACCTGCAGAAGGCAATGAAACCTGGCTTGCTCTGAATGCCCTGCTCCACATGCATGAATTTGGGACAGTGGATGCAGCAGGGAAAGGCTCCTCCATCATTTGCACCCTTCTGTTGATGTGACACAAAGCACAAAATGGGCAAGAATGAACACCACAGACACTGCTCTGAGACCTGGGGAACGGGTAGGATTTCCCCATGATCCCTGGTGGGTCTCTGATGTGGGAAAGGCTCTGGGGTCTGACCCTTCTCCTAGCCCATTGTTGTGCTCAGCTCTTGATGGCTTCACAAAGGTGCTGCTGTGCTCATGCTGGCACACAAGGATAAGGATTTTTCAGCATTTGTTTTTTCTTTTTTTCTTTTCACCATTAGTAAAGAATCCACTCTGATCGTAGATAAAAGACATTTAATTTTACTTTCCTCAGCACTTCCCATATTGTACCACAAAACTGTCATTATATCACTGTGCACTGTGATAGCTCTTTCCTTTTTATGAAAATGACAATGGTCTCATCTTGGTCATTAAGCAGCAGTGATTTTTTTTTTCTGTGACAAACAACTGGCCTCCCAACGATGGCATGAAATTAGAATTAGTTTTCCTTCTTCTGGAAGGAGAACACAAGCAATGACATACACTCAATATAGACACTGCAACATGGTCTCTCCCAGACTCCCTACACTCACCACACAGAGACTTTCATCAGCCAGTTATTTCTGCACTGCTACATGCATACACACAACGCAGGTAAACACCCACTACTGGACCATGATCTTGCTAAGATCACAGCAGCATTTATCAAAAGGTGACTGCCAGACCTTCCCCTCACCCCAGGAATTCAGTCCGAGTATCACAGAAGCACATTAACCTTGCCCCAGCCTCCACAGCCCTGTGCACACATAGCATACAGGAGGCAGGCCTTGTACTGGAGTTTTAAATATTTATAAATATTAATGTAGGGGAGAATTCACTGAGTCAACACCTGGTTGTACCAGTGCAAAACAACAGAGGAACTTTCATACTTGGGGAAAAAAGTTCACCTGTCAGATGCTTTTCTGCTCTCTCCCCTCCCCTGAGACATCCAGAATGACACAGTTTTCCAAAATTCTCCCAAAGCTCATGCCTCTCTTGGAGACAAGTGACAAATGTGAATGCAAGGCCCACGCACAGGAGAGCAGAGCTGCTGCACACAGAGCTGCACATGGTGGGTCCAATTTGCAGGATGGGGCGCAGCATTTGGGAGCACAGCTGACAGATGTACATGAAGTGAAAGGGAGACACTATGACTGTGCCCACGTCCCTGTTGCTGATCCCTATGCCTTGGAATTTAAGTTCACAGATCTTCATCTCAGCCTGTGGTGATACCCACGGCTGTGTGGGGGGGATTTATGGAATGATGTCCTTTCCCTCCCTCCCTTATGTCACACCCATGATTCGAGTCTCTCCAGCGAAGACATGCATGAGGAGCATCTCACTCCATACAGCCCCAACCCAGCAAGGCCATGGGGTTGAGAGACACAGCAATGAGTGCTGGTGGGAAACAGCAGGGCTTAGCATGTGTTGAGGTTTTCTTACCCACACAGAGCAAGAACAGCAGCTTTTTGCACTGGAAGAGGACAAGGAAGAATCTTCTGACTACAGCTATGGCATTCATGCTTGCCTTCATGAACATCCTGCAAAACAGCAGATGACATCAGTCAAACAAGACTAATGAGCTTTCATTTAGCAGTACTTTTGCACAGCTAGGCAGGCTGTGTGCTTGTCTCACAAGCCTAGATTTCCCAATGCTATGCCTCTGTTCACATAGCATAGGTACCCCCATGCCCTGTTGGGTGACCCACAAGACCCACATCACATTGATCAGGATCAGTGCAGCTCCCACCGCCTGCACAGGGCCTGGCATCACAGCTGTCCAGTGAGGACTGGAAGCACCTCACCACCATCCCAAGGATGTTTCAGCCTCAAGCCCCACAGTTTGTTCCACTGACAAAAAAAGAGAGTCCACAAAGTGCCGCTTTGACTGCCATTAAAGTCCTGTGATCGATCCTCCTAAGCTGTGGAGTTTGTAGTGTTTAGATGTAAGAGTCTGAATGACAGCCTTAATTATATAGGGACAGCAGCACAGTTCACATAGACAATTACCTGCTCAGGCTGATGAAAAACAAGAATAATACACTTCTCTCTTGGAGGGATGGTGCAGAAAGTGAGTGCTGAGCTTCCTCATCTGGTGACCATCTAATTATCCTCAACGAGATGGATACAAATCTCAGCTGGGCAGCAGAGAAGTACTTGGGGATGTTCTCAGCCCATCCTCTTTCCCCCATTCTATGGCTTGGAAGGAGACCTTTGTAAGGCTGATTAATCCATCCAAGCAGACCCTTCTGCAGGTTGCCAGCTAGCTGGTGCAAGGCTGCCCTCCAAATTCCAGAGTTGGCAGCTGCTGCTCCCCTGCAACACATCAAGGATGTTCTGTGGTCCTCCTTGACGTGGGCAGCATCTGCAGGGCATCAGGGCTGGCCTTAAATGGGAAGCCCCAGCAGCACGCTGTGCTGAGACAGCAAGGTGTTTTTCTGGGTGGATGTACTTTCAGGGAAGGGAACTGGGAGGGTTTCCCATAAAGATATTAAGACAGGGATGTAGAGAGAGCCAGCTCATCTGCTCTGGCTGCAGACCTGCTACAGATAAGGGAGTGGGTTGAATGCATGCCCTTCACAGGCTGCTGCTTACAAAGTCTAAGGAAAGCAAGAGGTCTCTTACCCTACTTCCCTACAGGCTCACATTGTGCTCTGAGTTATACAGATGGTAGACTTTTCTCCTGTTCACACAATCTTAAGGACTAAGAAACAACTTTGTATGTGTATCCCTCTCATACATCCCTAGAGTTAATACCAGCCTGGTACATGTAGGCATTTCTTGCTGCTTTCTTCTGCTGTAATTTCCCCAAGGCTTGTAAAGGAGGGCCAGCATGTACAAGAAATCCCATAATGAATTGCAGAAACCACCAGGGATTAATGTAACCCTTCCCTTTTAAGTGAAGGAAAGAGGCAGGAAAGAGGCACGGCCAAGGCAGGTATGACAGTGAAAGAAGATCCCCTTTCCCCTTCCTTCTCCCAACAGAATTACTGAAACCAAGCCACACATCTGCCCTGCAGACAGAGCAGGAGCTGTAGGAGGTCGAGCAGTTTGAGGACAGCTCTCACTGCCTGACAGAAACTCAGCACTACTCAGTGCAGCCAGGCTTCCACCTCTGCCTCCTTCCTTGCATTGAGCAAAGCAATCCCACAGCTGGTGTGAGTACACGCACTTGTTTGTGCAAGATGCCTCCTGCCTGCCAAGGGGCTTCATTTGCCCATTTCTACTTCTCTCAAGCTTTTCAGGTTTCTTTTCACAGAGCTGCTTTATTTTTCTGTATGATGTTCTTTTTCCTCCCTTCCATTCTAATTAAGGTGTTTGTCTCCACAGCAGGAAATATAAACTGCAGCAGACGATCTCGATTATGTATTTTAGAGGAAGAAAAAAAATATTTAGAAAAGCTATTCACTTCAGATATGCACAGAAACAATCACTAACCACGTCCCCAGAAACCAGGAGAAACAAGGAGGAAAAAAAGAAAAGGAGAGATGCTAATAAAAAACTATTAAAAAAATATGATGAAATCTTTAATTCCGTGCCTAGGAATGAAAGGTCAGGTTTTTGGTAAAGGAAAAACAGCCGTTCCTGTTTGCAAAAGCAGGAGCTTGTCCTTAAGGCACTCCAAGAGTGGAGGAGCTGCTGGATTCTTTTGAAAACTTGCTGCTCAGTGTTAACGCTGCTAAGCCTGAAAACCTCCTTTTGTCTAAGGAAAGAGCTGAGCGCTGCTGAAAATGCCGCCTGGATTGTGTGTGCTGATTGAACCACTGTCCCACGATCTGAAGGAGAAGGAACCAATTTACACCGCCTGCCTCAGTTTCTCCGCTTGCAAAGTGGAGATGATCACAATTCCCTACCTCTGAAAGAGGCTACAAACCTGAAATCGTTGGCACAGAGCAGCTACAATGAGTCACTGCAGCAGGCCAAGAATAACGCAAAAATACCTAAAGAGACAAGGCATTTTCTATTCTTCAGAGAGCAATTGATTAGTTGAGCTATACTGGGATTTTTGCCCATCAGAGATCGCAAACTTGAGAAAACGGCCTAGAAAACGAGAGTTCATTCTCGTTGATTCTCTTTCCTTCTTCCCACACCACTCCCAGCCTCTACCTCCCCTGCTCCATTTTTTTTTTGTATTTAAATCTACTTCTCTAAATATTGTTTCTCTCACATCAGCCCAGCAGGAGAGGCAGAAATCAAATTATAACCACTGAAAAAAACCCATCAACATTTAGTTCCAGGGGGGTGGGTGGAGAGAGTGGAACATTTTGCTTTAAGTTAAAAAAAAAAAATCTATTAAAATAAACAGGCAGAAAAGGAGAAGGTAAATCAATCAGCTGCATTTAAAGCAGGGAGATAGCAAGCAAAGGGTGTTCCATCCAGAGAGCTGTAGAAACCAAACCTCTCCATCCCTCTCCTCTCATGGAAGAGCTTTCTTCTCTTCTGATGCTGACTTTGTGCTTTTCATTCTGGGTACACATCTTCTCCCTTATGGAAAAGTTCTGAGGATAACTTCTTTTCACAGAGGGATAACAGGAGGAGGAAAAGCAAAGCCATCCACCTGATAATTCGAGAAACCTAAAGGTGACCACACTGTTTCACGTATTTATGTGATCTGGGCAGAACTTGCTGCATGTATACTTCTTCAGTTCAGCAGGAAGGTCTTGTCTGCAAAGAACAGCTAAATATCAGAACTGTCACATGCAAGTATTTTTTTAAAGGACTATTTCAGGAAAGAGCACATGCTCTGTGGCAACACCATTACAGCCTTTCTGTTCCTCTCTACACCTCTCCCTATTTTTTGGCTGGAGGATTGGTAGCTTAAGGAACCAATGAACTAACACGTGCTCACTCTCTTCCAAGCCTCAGGAGCCAGCCAGCAGGACGTTATCATGCAAGACTTGCACCAGGGCTTGCTTCTGGCCATTGTGCATCTGAAGACCACCTCTCCACCTGCATGAGCTCAAAAAGTCAAAGCAGCTATAGGGACTCAAGGCAAGGATAGAAACCCTCAGTGCACCCAGGTGAGTACAGTTGGTGCATATTAGCTTTTAAATGCTATAGCCCAGATTAGCTCTGCACCTGTCTGGTCACCTAAGCACAGCAGGTCTCTCTGGGGAAGGTTTGTTTGGGTCATCATCACTGCATTTTGGAAGATGTCAGTCACAGCCATTGCAGCATTGTGTACTCTTGTGGCTCCTCCTGCCCCATGGTGATGGAGTGATGATGTAGAGGCAGGCAGCAGCCTGGACTCCAAGTTTTGCCCTAGCAGGGGACAGCGCTGGGCTGTCCCCCAGAGCTCTCTCTGCACCTCGTCCCTGGAAAGTCTCTGCACCTGCCGGAGTTTTGCCTCCTCGGAGGGCTAAGAAAACCAGTTGAGCTGCAGAGGAGGGCCGAGGCAGTTATGCGCTCCTGCAGTGCCATCGTGTGCTTTAAGTGTGCACTGCAGTATCTCCCGGCTGCCAAAACTCACAGAGGGTGAGGAAACGGTGAGCAAAACCCCAGCGCTCCCGGGTGTGCTCAGCTCCCAGCACTGATCACCCAGGAGTGCCAAGTCCTGTGGCTGCTGCAACATATGAACACCCGCACCCAGAGTTGTCTCAGGACAGTCCTGCGTTGCGATGCTCCCACCGATGTGCAGCTGCTCCCCCTGCTGCAGAAAGTCAGTTCGGTGCCTGTGTTGTAGATCAGACTGTGAGACCAGAGGGTGCCATGGCCAGCACAGGTTTATTATAGCTTGCTGTGTCTTAAAGTGAGGTTTTACTAAAGGAAAAGGGAGACTGGAAGGATCCACAGACGCATTCTTGGGGGATTTTGCAGGGAGCACCCCATCAGTGCAGTGCACCTGCCCTGAGCAGGTTCTCATTCCCAGCAGACACCCATGTACAGAGGCAGGAAAGCAGCCACACCTACCCTACACTGACTTGGGTTTCACTCTTCTGCTGGCTTTGCATTATTAAAATATGAAACAGAAAACCTACAGAGAATTGCATAGGGCTGGGGAGAAGGAAGGCAGGCAGGATCTGTGCCCTGCTCCCTTCTGCAATGAGGCCCCTGAATCCCAGCATGTCATATTACAGAGCTGAGGTGTGATGGGAAAATGTGAGTAAAAGCTCCAGACAAAATGCTTCTGCAGTCTCAGCACCCTTTGGCTCTGGCCCCGAAATCAGCCCAACATCTCCTAAGACCATCAAAAGACTACCAAGATCTCAGAGGGGAATAACAAGGAGTTCACCAGAAAAGGAGTTGAGGAGTGAAAAATGGGAATTTTGCCCTCCGATTCACCTGGAAAATTCCCCATCCTCCATATGTCCCAGCAGGGCTTCCTCTCTGCTGAAGAAGCCCTGTTCCAGCTGTGCCATGTCCTCAGCTCCTGTCAGCAGGCACTGTGCCACGCTGCTGAGCGCATCCATGGACGAGAGCACTCATTAACAATGTGAGCAAATGGCATAACGATGCCTTGACAGCACCTATGGTGACAGCTACAAAGTGCCCCAATCAGTGATGGCAGCAGCAAGCAGCATGCACAGCGTGGTCTATGGC